CCCTTAGAACTAGAGCAAACATAGTTACTCAAAATAACTATTTATTTAAAAGGACTCAATACTCATCTTGCTCTGTCAGATTGACTTTTGCTTGTATTGCCCTTGTGACGGTAGCACTGGTGTGCTCGGTGTCCTTGCTTTCTGCACGCAAAACACCTTCCTTTAAACTTCTTGATTTTTCTACTCCTTTCGTTGTAGACGGTTCTGACACTTTGATTTTCAGTTCCATTGGCACCGTACTTTTCTGACAGTGATTCCCAAATGACTTTTGCCGAATCTTGTTTGACATAGATGTCGAACAAATCGTCATTCATTTGTGACAGCAGGTATCCTCTGGCTGCCGCATTGTCATTTCTAAATTGAATCAGAGTTACACCCGGTTCTTGACCCGGAATGTAATCTATTTCAGGACTGCTTTCTCTCGATTCTTCACCCGGAGTGTAATCAGGTTCATGATTACATTTTGTAGCACCAAACGGAGAGAACACTGTTGGAGTAGGTTCAGTTGCAACTGAATGTAGCACGTAAACCAACTTTAATTGTTCAAAAAGAATAAACATTCTTTGAGCCCATCTGTTGTAATTTCTCCCATCAAGCGCGGTGATCTTTGATAGATCCGGTATGACAGAAGGTGTCATAATGCTAAAGGTTGACTGTTGCAAATTAACGCTTTTAACTGTTGGGGAAAATCGCAACGCCAACGCCCGATCTGGAAGCCTTTTAAGAAGCACAGACACTATTGGTGTATGGTTGAAAGGAAATCTGTTCCGTGTTATAATAACACTACCTTAAAAGCGTTATTTGCCCGGTAACGGTGCAGTTAGAACCCTGGCACGCTTTCGACCGGCTACACAAACCTACTACGGATAGCTTGCACTAGCAATCGCGTAGGCGAACCTCACTATTGCTCAGACGAAGAGAGGAAGAAGGAGAATATATTAAATGACTCGGATTCAAGGTGTGTTTTGAAACGATGTTGGGAGCTGCTATTTATAGTAAGCAGCCCCTCCATCCCACCCACATAATGGACACATTGATTTGTCCACATTCTAGCGCCTTTGGCGCTGCTCCACACAGAGGAGCGCACGGTGCGCTATTGGAATAATGAAATGGATAATTCTTTGAATTCAATTTCCATTCCATTATTCCAATGACAAAGTCAAGGGGTGGAGGTGGACCATAAAGGCTTTCATCATTTAATTTTCCAACATATATATATATATATATATATATATATATATATCACTTGTCCAAAGCTTCTTATATGTCAAACATAAAAACGATAATTTATATCATGGACCAGGGTCCATTATGCATTGTAGATTCTGGTTCAAAATCATATTCATATTATGTGTCTGCAATTAACAGATTATATATACCTGCAATTAACAGGTTATGTATGATCCTATAATGAGAATAAAAGTTTTAAAAATACAAAACCAAAAATCAAGACAATTTATTATAATATAAAGACATTCAAAGCACCCATCTATATCTATCTATCTATATATATATATATATATATATATATATATATATATATATATATATATATATATATATATATATATATATATATATAAACAAAATCCTGAAATTTTAACTTCTCGCCCAATTCCTAAAAAATCTCTCTTCCTAATAAAATATAATGATTTCTACTTTCCCATTCGTACAATAATTCTGGGTTAAAATTCTTTTCTAATATTATAAAATAGTGTAATACAATCTATACTATATATAAAAACAAAATCCAGAAATTTTACCTTTCCGCTCAATTCCTAAAAACTCTCTCTTCCTAATAAAATATATTGATTTCTACTTTCCCATTTGTACAATAATTCTGGGTTAAAATTCTATTCTAATATTATAAAATAGGGTAATACAATCTATCTATCTACCAGGACTATGTGGTCTAACGGTACCGGGGTTGGACTTCCATTTGGAAGGTTGTGAGTTTGAGCCTCAGTGGAGGCGTTATTGGTACTTTGTATTTCAGTAGGTTGAGAAAGTATATGAACAGATACTACAATGTAATAGAGCCAGTAACATTCAACAAAAAAAATCTATCTATTTCTCGCTCAATTCCTAAAAAATCTCTCTTCCTAACAAAATATATTGGTTTCTACTTTCCTATTCGTACAATAATTCTGCGTTAACATTCTATTATAATATTATAAAATAGTGTATAGTTAAAATTCTATTATAATATTATAAAATAGTGTAATACAATTCCTCTTGTAATCTATAATATATATATATATATATATATATATATATATATATATATATATATATATATATATATATATATATATAAAATCTTGAAATTTTAACTTTCCGCCCAATTCCTAAAAAAATCTCTCTTCCTAATAAAATATATTGATTTCTACAATAATTCTGGGTTAAAATTCTATTCTAATGTTATAAAATTGTGTAATACTATTCCTATTCTAATCTATATGTATACTATATATCAGTGTTATAAAAAATCGCGCCGCTGGTCGCGGCGAGAAAGGCCGGAATCGGCCTCCTCTGCGGCCGCCTCGCCGGCTGAACCGACATTTTTTTTTTTTAAGTTGTAAAGTGTTAAAAGTTCGGCATGACATAACTTTTGACTCGGTTGTCCGTTTTGGACAAATTTTTTTTTTTTTTTCGAGATATATCCACCGCAAATTGCTGTAGTCTGTTTGGCCCATCAATTTCTAAAAAAAAATACTTTATTAAGTAGTTTCTAAGAAAAAACTATGAGAACCTTATGCTTTATTAATGAATTTTTAAATTTTTTAATTCAAAAATTGTCCCGTGCATTATTTAATAATCTTTCTTTATAATTGGTCAAATTATTTAATTATGGTAAATTAGGCAATAATTAATGATGGTAATAGAAATCCTAGAAGAATATTTAATTATTGTTATATTATTATTGTGATTCACGGAATACAATACAAGAATATTTAATTATGATTATATTATTATTGTTCCTCACGACCATTATGTACTAACAAGTACTCGAAAAGAAACTAATAATAATAATAATATAATAATATAATAATATAATAATATAATAATATAATAATAATATAAGTGATAATAATAATATCTAAAAGTAATTAAGTGTTAATAATAATAGTAAGAATATTAACGTAAGAATTATAACATAGAATAAATCGTAATAATTAATAACTATAGTCTAGGATTAAATATGGAATTGTCAGGAAAGATAAGCGATCTCTGGTGAAATTAACTCTTAAATAATTATATATTGATTTAAATATTCTTAATATATTACAACAATTCCATTCCGTGCATCGCATAGGTAAAAATACTCGTATGGACAAAAAAAGAAATAAATAAAAAATTCTAAAAGCACTAATCCAAACTTAAAAATCAAATTACCAATTAAGAAGGAAAATAATAGAATCCTTATTTTATCAGGGAATGAATATTCTAATTAAGGAGTATTGAAATTTCATATTAGTACTCTAGAAACCTGTCAACACGCCCATCTTGTGAAAACGTAATTTTTTTAACCAACATGATTGGCGTGGTGGTTTAACACTTCGTCCTTTAAACAAGAAAATGTAATTTTTTTGATCGTGTGACGGGCCCCACATCAACCAAACAATAATTTTTTATATCTTGTGATAACACTGCCAAGATTGATTCAATCTCAACCAGTCAACCTACTATTTTTATTTGAAAGCTTTTCGAGGAAATTGATGTCTACGTTCATTATTGACGTCTGGGTTCATTACAGAAAAAATGAAGTGCGTGCTTAAAATACATTTTCGTTTCAAAAGATCACATTCAATTAGCAGGCACACGCCTTAACCACTCGACGAAAGCGACCTTTTGATATGAGCTTCTAAATCATTTTATTAATAGATTTTTATATAACGCTTTTAAGAGTTTCCAAAGGAAAACGTGTACGATATACAAGAATACTTTCTCTTGAGATTGATTTGCCATGCATCATAGCTTATGAATTGTTATAACAGGTCATTTGGTTAGAGAGAATTATAATTATATTCTCATTTAATTTTTACATAATTTTGAAGGCAAACAAATTCCTTTGTTTGATTGGAAGGAAACAATAATCTATAATTACAGGATATCAACATGAGCTTCAATGCTTCCAAATAAAATATTTATGGATTTAATCACAACTTTTAAAAGTTTAGTGATTCAATTGACTTTTTGAGTAAATAAAGTTATCAAACCATTCACTTAGCTTGAATGGCAAATTATGTTGTGCATGGTGCACACGGTTGCAAAAACGGCGTCGTTTCACTTTTAAAAAAATCATTTTCGATTGTCGTTAGTTACGTAAACATATGTTCATAATTTTATAATTTCACATTCTAAATGTATAGTTATGAAGTTATGGATGTATAGTTATGCAATTCTGAATGTATAGTTATGAAATTATGGATCTGTAGTTATGCATGCAGTTCTGAATGTATAGTTATGAAGTTATGATTTCACATTCTGAATGTATAGTTATGAAGTTATGAATGTGTAGTTATGCAATTCTGAATGTATAGTTCTGAAGTTATGGATGTGTACTTATACATGCAATTCTGAATGTATAGTTATGAATGTGTAGTTATGCATGCAATTCTGAATGTATAGTTATGAAGTTATGGGATGTGTAGTTATGCATATGTTCATGCAATTCTGAATGTATAGTTATGAAGTTATTGATGTATAGTTCAAATTATGCACAACATAACGCCGTTAACGTCAATCGAAATTGTTTTTTTTTTTTTTTTTTTAAATCGGAATTTAAAACGACGTCGTTTTTGCAAATGCATGGTGTTGGAATCAGAAGGTCAGGCTATAGATGTTAAGCTAAACATGAAACTTAGAGAAGAAGAAGAAGATTGAAAACTTGCATTGAGTTCACACACCAAAAAGAGATAACTGCCATCCTTTTATATGAGGCAAGGAAGCATTTATAACAGAAAGAAAAGAGGAAATTACAAGACTGCCCTTGGCAGTTATTTCAGTTGCTTTGCATCCTTCATCTTCAGTTGTTTTGCTTTGTATCCTTCATCAACCCCCCGTAAGCTTGGAGCATGAACATCTTGAAGGCCAAGCTTAAGTTGGAAAGTATTGAAGGCTGGAGTTGGCAAGGGTTTGGTAAAACCATCAGCTATTTGCTTCTGAGAAGGAATTGGTGGAAGCTTAATCAACCCTTCATTAACCTTTTGTTTGACAATGTGACAATCTATTTCTATATGCTTTGTACGTTCATGGAAAACATGGTTTTCCCCAATGGCAATGGCTGAGTGATTGTCACAGAACAAAGATGTAGGAACATCAAGAGGAACCTGCAAATTAGCTAGGAGATAATGAAGCCATTGGATCTCACAGACAGTTGAGGCTAAGGCTCTATATTCAGCTTCTGAGGAGGACCTTGAAACAGTTGCTTGCTTTTTGGTTTTCCATGAAATCAGGTTGCTTCCAAGGTAGATACAATATCCGGTGATGAATTTCCTAGATTCTGGACAATTTGCCCAATCAGAATATGAAAACCCTTGCAGTTCGAACTGAGATCCCTTCTGGTAAAACATTCCTTTTCCTGGTGAATCTTTGAGGAACCTAAGCACCCTGTGTGCAGCAGTAAGGTGAGCAGTGGTGGGCTTATCAACAAATTGGCTGAGCTGTTAAACAGAATGTGAGATATCTGACCTAGTATTTGTTAGATACAGGAGTTTGCCAATCAGCCTCCTGTAAATTTTAGGATTATCAAGCAGAACACCTTTTGAGCTAGTGATCTTCAAATGTGTAGTGGCTAGACTTTTTTGCAGGTTTAGAATCCAAGAAACCATTCTCTTTTAAGATGTCTAAAGTGTATTTCATCTGAAACAGATTGACTCCATCAGTATTCCTAAAAGCCTCAATTCCCAGAAAATAGTTTAAACAACCAAGGTCTTTGATTTTGAAAGATGTGTCCAAAAAGTGTTTGTGGGCAATGACCTGTGATGAATCAGTCCTAGTCACCAAGATATCATCAACATAAATGAGAAGAGCAGTAAAGGAACTTCCTGAGGTCTTTGTGAATAGGGAGGGATCAGCTGTGGACTGATGATAACCATTTTCTAGCAAAGCTTTTGTCAACTTTGCATTCCACTGTCTACTGGCCTGTTTCAAGCCATATAAGGATCTCAGTAGCTTACATACTTGCTTTGGTTTATCACTGTGAAAACCAGGAGGTAACACCATGTACCACCATGAAGAAAAACATTGTTTATATCCAACTGTTGAATGTCCCATCCCCTTGCAATGGCCACAGCTAGAAAAATTCTGATTGTAGCCATTCTTGCAACAGGTGAGAAAGTTTCAGTATAGTCTATTCCCATTTGTTGAGTATATCCTTAGGCCACAAGTCTAGCCTTATACCACTCTATTGAACCATCAACTTTGTGTTTTATTTTAAACACCCACATACATCCAATAGGAGTCTTACCAACAGGAAAATCTGTCAATATCGAAGTGTTGTTGGCAACCAAAGCCTCTATTTCAGTCACCATAGCTTTTCTCCCTAATTCAGATTTAACAGCCTCATTATAGGAATATGGTTCATGTGCAGTTAAAATAGATGATGCACAAATCTTGTGGCTAAGAGGCAGAGAATCATAGGATATAACATTATCTAAAGAGTGTGGGGAGGTTCTCCTATGTGTATTAGTCTGAATCATATATTGACAATAGTAATCTTGTAATTTTGTAAGAATGTTCCTTACCCTTCCAGACCTTCTGGACTCTAACTGATTGGAACTCCTCATCTAAGGACAGACTTCTGTCCCTTCCCCACAATTGGTGTCATGGTCTGTTGTGGACCTATCTGTATTATTCATTGGATCGGTTCCACTTCTGGACTCAACATTTGGCAAATTGTCATCATAGATGGGATCGTGCTCAGGATTTGGTGTTTCAGCATGATTGTGATCTGTTGTATGTGTGACTGGAACAATATCTGCATCAATAGGGACCAGAGGTAAGGTTGGATTGAGCCTCTGGATGTGAAAATTTTCTGACATTCTTTCTTTGAAAGGATAGATATCCTCATAAAAGGAAACATCCCTGGAAATAAAAATGCATTTGTCAGAGATATCATACAACACATAGCCTTTTACATTGGCTGGAAAGCCCAAAAAAAATGCACTTCCTTGCCCTTGGCATCATCTTATTCCTCCCCTGCGGAGTAGTACCACCAAAACATAAGCAGCCAAAGCTTCTCAGATGAGTATAATTCACAGCTTTATTGTACAGGAGCTCATATGGAGTTTTCCCATTATTCACTTGTGTGGGCAGTTTATTGATGAGATATGAAGCATGTAGAACACAATAACTCCAAAAATCTAGAGGAACCCCAGACTGAAATCTGAGAGCCCTTGCTACATTCAAAATGTGTTGATGTTTTCTTTCTGCAATACCATTTTTTTTGTGGTGTGTATACACATGATTTTTTGTGCACAATTCCCTTTTCATTAAAGAAAGAGTCCATGGAGAATTCAGTTCCATTATCAGACCTCACTACTTTGATTTTTGCTTAGAATTGTGTGTCAACGTAAGAGTAGAAATTCTAAAATATGCCTTTGACCTCTGACTTGTTTTTCATCGAATGTATCCAAGTAAATCTGCTATGGTCATCAACAATAGTGAAGAAATACTGTTCCTTTTTAAGAGAAGCAACAACAAAAGGACCCCACACATCTAAATGAATCAAATCAAAACTCTTTTAAGCTCTTGTATTATTGGCATGAAAGACTGATCCTTTTTGCTTGGCAAGGTGACAGATGTCACAAACAAAATCAATGGATTTATGAAATTGCACTTGTTCAACACCATTTAGGTTTTGAATCTTATTTATGGGATAATGCCCCAACCTATTATGCCACATTTGAAAAGATAAACTATTACAATAATTTTCAGAGTCAGCATACTGTCTTCTCTTGGCAGGAGGGTGATCAAGTAGATAGAGTCCTCCTTTAACCCTAGCAAAACCATCCACTATCCCATGTGGCCCCTTGATATCACAAATATCAGCCTTCATAACAAGAGTGCAGTCATTTTGTTTTGTCAACTTAGTGGCAGATATTATGTTGAAAGTAAAAGAAGGTATGCATAGAACATTCTTCAACATCAAATTAGGGAATAATTTGACTTCCCCTATGTGTGTGACCTGCACATTTTCTCCATGAGTTTTGTGGTACTTCTCAAGATATTCTAAAGAGTATGTGATGTGATCAGTTGCTCCTGAGTCCAAGATCCACACATTTGAACAATTCAAGACAGCATTAATGTGAGATTTAGAAGTAAACCTGCCTTCTTTTGAATCATTTGGCAAGGTGGTAAAATTTGGCTTCATTCCAGCCTTACTCACTGTGATTGCAGAACTGGTGGAAACTTGATTAGTATGATTTCCTTGAGTCTATCCTTGCAGAAGAGATACCACTAGTATAAACAACCACATCCGCTTATAGGTGTAGCGAAATCCAGTGTCGCTGAAAGTGCATACTTTCCGCTACACCCGTACAGGGTGTAGTGAAAAGCCAAAAATATTAATTTTTTTTCGTTAAATATTGATTTTCCGCTACACCCTTTCCGTTGAGGGTGTAGCGGAAAGTCATTTAAAAAAAAAAAATCAAGCCTTTTCGCTACACCCTCTTAGTTGAGGGTGTAGCGGAAAGTATTATTAAAAAATAATCAAAATTTCGCAACACCCTGAGAGGGTGCCACGGAATTTCTTTTAAAAAATAAATATGTTCTGCAAAAAATTGTGTTTTTGTTATTATTCTTTTTAATTTTTTAAAACCAACAATTAATATCCTGTACAAAATTCTCTAAAAACCAAAAAACCAACACAACAATTTACAAACTAATACAACGATTAACAATCAACCGAATATACTTATAATTATCAACACAATATACTTATAACAATAAACAAAATATACTTAGGCTCTTGAATTATCTCTATACCTCTTGTTGGTCCCAAAAGAGGTAAGGTGAAAGTCTAGAGGGGAGGGGGGGGGGGGGGGGGGGGGGAGGGGTGAGTAGACTTTCAAACTTTTTCGCACAGCACAACAATTGCTAAGGCACAAAGAAACAAAAACTATTAACTAGATTGTTAAAGTATGGTACGCAGCGGAAATAAATAAAGATAAAGTGTGTGTGAGATTGTGACAAGTATATCTCGTGTGAAGCAAGTAAAGAGCAGTAAGTAAAGAAAGCATTAAAGAACGCAAGGCAATTATAGTGGTTCGGAGGTGGTGTAATCCTCCTACTCCACTTGCTCTTATCTCCAAGAGCAATTCACTATATCCACCACTTCTTGGTTCCAAGATACAATGAATTCAGTGGTCTAGTGCTTTGATGACCAAGCCCGCACTAATCATGCCCAGTGACACCACACTGCTGCTTCGGGTTTCACGTCGCCGCGCTACTATCCCAGGATTTCACGACTCCGCGTTACTTCCCCCCCGTCTTCCACACTCCGGTAGAAACGTATCCCATGATCTAGTGCTTTGATCACAAAGTCCGCACTAATCACGCCCAGTGCCTCCCACACTGCTGCTTCGGATCTCACAGCTCCGTGTGACAATCCAGGATTTCACAGCTCCGTGCTACTTTCCTCCCTTCTCTTGTTTTGCTCCAAAATAAGTTTTGTCTTGCTTCCAACTTCGAGACTCTATAGTTGATCTTCAATGATGTGCAGGTCTCTTTGATGAAGATTAAACACTCTTGATGATTTTCTCGTGATAGCTCTGAGTGTTTTCTCTCTTTGAAAGTATCAAGTAAAGCACTTGATTTTTATGCTCTGTTTAGCCCTATTTTTGGACTCTCTGAATATTTCTCTTTGAAGCTCTCTGAGTTCTTTTTCTTTTCTCTCTTCTCACTTGAAGATTTCTTTTGGTATGCTCTGTACCAAATGAGATTTTTGCTCAATGTATTTTAGCTCTTTGCTCTTGAGTTCGTGTTCTTGCTCTTGTTGCTCTCTTGTTCGTATTCTTCAAGTCTTCATATCTTCATCATTTTATAGCTGGTAATGAGGATCTGCCCGTTGGAAAGAGACGATCTCATTTTTGAATTCTGTATCTTCTTGTCAGAGATCTTATCTTATCTTCTGGCAAAGTGTCAGAAGAGATAAGCTAGCCGTTGGTAGAGCTTCAACTTCATGCAAATGTGTTGCCAAACTTCATCTGATATTCCTCTGGTGTTCTCACGTTTCTTGGGAATATATGGGTTTCAGTTTTGTGTAGAATGGCTTTTCTGATCAGCTCTGAAGTGGTTCTTTGTTTCTTTGGGATTTAAATACTTCAAAATATTCTTCAATTTAATCCCATACTAGTTAGACTAGTATTTTTCCTTGTGAGAATATTTTCACTGTAAGTTTCTCTTCATCTTCTTCATTCTCACGTCTGGGTGTTCTCAGACTTCAAACTGGCTTCGAACTGCCTCCCAATTCGAATTTCTCCTTTGTAATTGACACCCAATTTCAATTGACTTGTAATTGGCACCCAATTTGAATTTCTCCATTGTAATTGGCTCCCAATTGACGTTGACTTGCAATTGGCTCCCAATCTGAATTTCTCCATTGTAATTGGCTCCCAATTGACTTTGCCTTACAATTGGCTCCCAATCTGAATTTCTCCATTGTATTTGGCTCCCAATTGACTTTGACATATGAATTTCTCCATTGTAATTGGATCCCAATTGACTTTGACTTGCAATTGGTTCCAAAACTTCTCCTGGTGCTTCTATTACTTCCCAATTTCAATTATATTGACCTTGACTTCGAAATTGGCTCCCAGAGTTCTCATGGAATTGAATTTCATCTCAATTCAATTACTTCTCGATGTCTTCTTTTAATTGGTCCCCAATTTGAAAATGCATCCCATACTACAACTTAATTCCAATTGCTATGAAATCGGCTCCCAAGTGCAATTGAGAACTCCATCAGAATATCATATTATTCATCCTTCTTCTTTAATTTGTCATTTTCTCTAGACAAATTCTTGATTTTCGGCTTGATATCTTCTTCTTCTATTTTCATGCATCTTCCTCTGTTTTTCTCTTTTGCAAAAATAATTTCCCGATCATGGTCTAAAACTCTACTAGACCTATAAAATAAAATTGGGGGTTCTACAAATACATATTTGGCACATCAAAACCATTACACTTTATTCCTAACAATTTCCCCCCTTTTGATAATGCCAAAACCTATACTCAGTCATTGGCTTTAAGTCTTTGAAAAATAATTATTTTTCTCAATTTTATTTGACAAAGCCAAGATGAGTTTAACAAATGGATTTCTAGACACAATCAAAAGAAACTTGTGAATTAATATTTAGACAAGCTCCTAAACGCATCTTGAATTATTTTTATTTTATTTTTGATCATCCTTCTTTTAATTTTGACGTGCGTTTTGACATTTCTTGTCTTATTAATTCACGAAGGTCTAATTATAAAAGACAAATAAAATTATAAACTCAAAATAAACCATGGGAAATTATTATTGATATATTTCGAATTTTTCCAGAAAAACGCAACAGAGGTACGAAAAGTAGCGAAAATATTAGTTTAAGAGATTTTCCAGATTACCTTCTAGGTTTCTTCACACTCATGTCTTTCTTCAAAATTTCCTTGACATGTTCTCTGAGCTTGAAGAAATCATCTATGAACTTCGCATTCTGGAATCTCTTTGTAACTTGACCAGCCATGTAATATCCAAAAGCTTTCTTAATATTGTTGCCCGGAAGAACTCCAGCTTCCCACCATACAACACATTCTTCGAAGCTTCTTTCTTCTCCAAGATTCATGCCCATGTTTCCAGTGAAATCTCTTAATTCATACCACATCTCGGTTCTTTTTCGTTTGCCTTCTTTTTCTTTATTTTTGTCCAAGATCCATTGGGCTTGATCGGCTGCAGGCCATTTCTTGATCATGCTTGGTAAGTTTTCCTTCGTCCATACTGTGGTCTGAGTGGCGGGACCTTTTGACCATTCAAACCAGCCACGAGTTTCAGCAACCTTTGATGTACTCGTACCAAGACTAGGACTCGCGAACTAAGCAAAACCAATCTGAGATGGTCCTTGTGAGGATTGTCCGCAGCTTCAGCCTCTACCTTGAGTCTGTATTACTAGTTGTTGTTGGCTTCCAAGAATAAATTCTTGTTGTTGCAAAGCCAAGTGACTGAGAATTTCTTCCCCCCTTTTGGCGTTATCAACCAAAAGTGCAAGGGTCTTACAATCTCGGTCTTGGTTTGCCTTCACAGTTTCAACACTATTGTGTGTTTCAATGGAAACAGCTTGTACGTTGTCCAGCTTGTTTGTTGTAATTGTTAGTTCAGCTTTCTTGGTCTTGAATTGCCCTGATCTGTCTCAAGTGACGTTCGTTGTGAATCTTTTCGGAAGCTTCACGTTCCTTCTTCATGAGTTGGATCACTTCAAGTAATCCTTTCGTCACTTCTCCTTTCAAGACTCTTTCGGCTTTGTCAATCTAAGTCTTCAAACTGTGTTGGTACTCCATGAGTTCTTTCATATTGACTCGGGTATCCGTGTGTTGTTGTTTTAGCATTTGGTTTTGTTCAACCAACTTTTCTCCAATAGTTTGATAAACAACATCACTGGATTCGGCAACTTTGGCAAATAAGGATGAAAATATATCATCTTCTTGATCATCCATCTGCACAAAGTTTTGAGGAGATCCGAATGGACTCCTATTCGGATATGTGAGAACAATTGTATCAATGATTTGCATCCCTTATTCTTCAGGTGATTCGGCTTCTTGATTGAGATCACCAATTCTTTCTTCTAAAACTTCTGTTCTCGTGTAGTTGTCTGCAAATAAATCTTCATTTTCTAGAACTGGGTCCATGATAGGCATGGTGGTCTTGGTATTGTGTACTGGCAGTACACTGGATAAATCCTCCCTGTTCTCAGTAGTAACTTCTACTGCAACTTCAACTGGTAAATCTCTTCTTAATTGTTCTGACACTACTCCTCTTAATTCTTTTCTTCTTTTATCCCTTTTTGTAGCTGTAATATATATATATATATATATATATATATATATATATATATATATATATATATATATATATATATATATATATATATATATATATATATATATATATATATATATATATATATATATATAATTTCTTTTATTATCAATTTCCCTTTTTTTTTTGTTTTATCTTCTTGGCTACGAAATTTGGTTTTTTTTTTTTTTTTTTTTTTTTTTTTTTTTTTTTTTTTTTAAGGACTTAGGGATTTTTCAATTTGTAGGAGAGATAGAGATATAGAGAGAACCAGTAGCAAAAACAACCATTTTTCATTATTTATCTCCTTCTTAGGGAGA